GGGGAATTTTATCCTTTTTATATAATTGGCCAGTTTATGTATATTAGGAAAGAGAAAAGAAGATATACAAAGGTAAAAGCTTACAATGAGCACAACTCCATATGCATGAATATTTTGACTTTCTGTACTGGAATCACACGTAGTCAACCTGGAGCATCCTGCTTGTTTAGCATTAACAGACACAAAAAATGTGTTGGGATTACAACAGTTCTATATGTATAAGATATCCTCTCGCTTGATAATCTATCAACAAGACATGCTCTCAAGAGTGTGAATACGAACAAACTTACGGTGCTCATCCGTGGATCCCATTGGACAGTAATTCCTGAGAAATCAAGCAAGAAGCTTTAGCATTTAAAATCACTACAAAAAATTGCACTTTCTCGGGCTCCAAATTATAAAATTCAACAAGTTAAATTTGTGATACAAGTTACTAACCCACTGCTACACGGCACTCTCTCAGTAATTGTGGGACAATAGGAACCAGCAGAACAGAAAAGCTCGTTGTTCGAACGAGCATCTGCCCAAATATTTGCACCACCACAAGTGTGATTCCTTTGTCCTGGTGGAAGTTGGTAGGAATAGCTGGAGCATTTACACATTGATTAAGTAATTCACATTATACCCTAAGATGAAAAAAATAAAAAATTACATTATACCAAGAAAGGATTGAGCTTACGGTTCACATCTTCCTGTACTTCTGTTGAGAGTAGCATGTGGGCAGTAGGAACCCAGTGGACAGGCTACCAGGAAAAAAAAAATTAAAAATATGAATGATATTTTCACACATTAAATAAAGGAAAGTTGAGATTGTTTAGTTCACTTTCATAAAAAGCTATTATAAATCAAAAAAACAAAAACAGTTTTCGATTACTCACGCATCATGCAAGTGAGGCCCTGCGGGCAAAAGAAGCCCTCACAGCATGAACTGCATTCGGATCCTCTTGCGGGCATAACCCGCGAATTTTGGAGGTCAACGGACTCGTCAGGATCGGCTGAGCAAGCCCATCCGGGCTCACAACCGGACACCCAATGGGAAGAATTACAATTCCTGTTTGGCCTTAGGTTATTTCCTCCACTCCTCAAGTTATCAAAATAAACCGAAACTTCTGCTGATGTGCATAATCGCCTACCAACATCTGTGTACAATTATACAGAAATGAAGAGACTTAACACACTAATCATATGACAAGTTTCAAAATCCTGAATTCAAACCAGCTGAAATTCAGACCATTTTCCTAATCATGTGACTAAGTTCGAAATCGAAATCTCTTTCTACTGCCTCAATCAACATCCCCTTATTCTTATCAAATTCAAACAAAGCAACACAAATTATATATCACCTCCAGTGCTGGCAAGGCAAGCAGTCAAGAAACTTAAATCCGAGGAATAATTGAAAGCTCTATTCCATTCGGCTTCCCTATAAATCAACATCAGAAAAAAAAAAAAAAAAAAAAAAAAAAAAAAAAAA